TAGCACGAAGTATGTGGATATTGTAATACGTGTTCTGCACAATGAATTTTTGAAATTTTCTCTCTCTCCTCTCTCTTTCACTTCCATCCCTCTATTTTGACTGTTGTACGTTAGCTACTAGCTGCCAATGCATTTGTAACAATTCCAAGGAATCGTACGTTCACTCTGTGGCCCCCACATGGCGGCAGCTCCTTCTGGTTTCCGTGCCGCACGCAGTATTCGCCTTTTTATTCTTTACTATTTTCTGGCTGGAACGTATTCTGGTTCATGTTGTTGTCTAAACAAACAAACACGTGCCAATCTAAGAAAAACCCAACCACATTAAATAAACAACTTGGCAAAATGAATTACTTTTTTTTCTGTTAAGACATGTTAGGCAAATATTCTGGTTTTGTTGGGGATTTTCTATCTTCCTTTTTTTGTAATTGTCTATTTGCAAATTCACAAGTGGCTTAAGCATTAACGGCGTTGGGTGATGATAAAGTAATTTGGTCTTCCTTGGAAAATTCATTCATTGTGGAATATTTGAGCTAATTTTCTAAAGATTTGGCAGGCAAATTGGATTTATTCTTAAATACTATTTTGCAGGAAATTGTATTAGGGGGAAATTAAAAAGAAAAATTTTTGTCAGTGATTGACAATGGATGTGGGAGGTGGGAAATTCGCACATAACTTATGCCATAGATATGACCAACGAGATAAAGACCATTTAGAGGTCACCTATGGAATAAAGAACACATAAAATAATAGACCCTCAAAATCTGTTCTATTATTCGAATTAATTGCATTATTCAACTACTGAAGCATTGGAGAGATTTCCAATATTGAATGAGAATTCCATAATATCGTAATCGAAGTTTTTATCCATTTGAATTGAAAGCGCTGACATTGGCGCATTATGAAATTTTGTGACAGAAACCTTAAACATACGGAAATTCGGGAGACATCGTTATATACAGGCTTTACGAATAAATGAACCTGAGACGGAAAACTTCAATTGTCAAGTTTCAGTTAATTTGGTTGGAAATTATGGCAGAAACCTTCAAAATACCGTAAATCCGAAGGTACCGTTATATGGGGGCTATACACAAATGTGGTTCAATATAGCCCATTTTCAATACCAAATTTTTAAATTTTAAAGCTCTAGAATAAATATCTATGTCTATGAAAATTTCAGCAGACAGGCGGATTAAACGGATTGTACTGGAGGAGGGTAAACATTACACCACTCTACTGATAAGCTAAAAAGGACAACCATCTATATTGGTTTGACACCAAAACCAAAATAAGTGCCGACTCTAAACCAAAAATCAAACAAAAAATGTCGGAAACAGCATCAAATTTTAGAATAAGTTTAGATTTGTTCGAATTGGTCAACCTTGGTACGAATTATGGCTTTCAAATACCGTCACATGCTACCCGAATGTTTCTCTGCGGCATTTTGGCCCATTCCGATCAAGCGCTTGCTTGAGGTGATCGACACTTTGGTATTTTTTAGTGTCAATCTTGCTTTCCAAAATACTCCAGACACAATAGTCCACCGGATTGGTGTCCGAAGATTTTGGTGGCCATTGTGCGCTGGAAATGAAGCGAGGAACCGCATTTTGTAACAATTCTTGGGTGGTGCGAGCTGAGTGCGATGGTGCTGAGTCCTGTTGGAATGTTCAAGGTCTGCGGCCAAAATGCGGTGGAATTAAGATTTTTTGATTTGAAGTTTTAGATCGATTTTTCAAAATAGTTTTTGGTTTGTATAAAAATGAATAGTCGATCAAAAATCTATGATAACGAAAGTTCATTTTCGAATTTTTGCTCAAAGCAGAAGTCGGTTTTGGCTATTAGACATTTCAATACCAAAAAGCAATTAATAATTTAATCGAAATTGGATCTACGAAAACCTTCGTTTTGTAAACAGTGGCATTGGAATTTTTTGTTTATTTTTATTATTATTTTTTTTTTTTTTTGGTGGTGAAATTCGCATTTACAATCCTAGCACATCGCCTTAGCTGGACAAGGAATACCGAGAAACGATCGGAAAATAAAAACGCTGGAGGGTTGGTCCGTATTTCAACCATTGGTTTTATTTCACACAGTTCTTGGCCAGTGATGTATTAAATGAAGCTGCGAGAGCCATGGCGATTTGCTCTCTCAGGAAATTTACAGACAGTTCATAAACTGGCCACAGTGGCTACAAAAAAAATTGAGGGTGTGATTCAGATATGTAAATATAGGAAGCAGACACCAATCAGCCCCCAGGTAAACCTCTGTACGATATTGCAATAGACGGATGCCAGAAGGAATCGGCGAATAGGTATTTTGCTTTTACGAACGCTTTAAAAATTAGAATAAGGTAAATGGAAACCGGCAGAGAATCAATAAATGTCGGGAGCCCTGATAATATTTGTCAAATCGGGGAGATTTGTGCTGGGGAGATATTCATAGAGAGAAAACCCTGACGTAATGCCTGAAGCTAAAATGTTGAACATTTTCAAGAAGTCAGGTATATTTTATACATGAAGGTGGTCTTGGAAATATGTACTAAGCGCGCTTACTGTACTAAATGATACTAATTTTCGAACAGTTGTGTTTAGGGTGGAATTTTGAAATTTTGTTTTGGGGCCCCTTTGGGTGGTAGGTTTGTGATAATGAGGTGGTTTTAAAAATATGTACTGCAAGTGCACGAAAAGTACTAAATAGTACTATGTCTGGTACAATTGAAATTTTGTATTAGGGTTGCTGTTCATGTGTACCCTGGACATATGGAGGTCGGTTTGCACATGTGTACTATAAATGTACGAAAAATATTGAATGATATACATTTGCCAATGGGTGGAGGGTTAGAGATACAATTCTAAAATTTAATATTTAATAAAGATTATTGATGGTATCTGTGTTTGGAAGTGGCTTGAAAATGCGTCCTAAATTTGTACGCAATGGCACTACAATTGGGATTTGGTTGAGGCTGTAATCCTCAATTTTTATATTGAGGTCACTTTTGGTATCTGGATTGGGATTGTACGAAAAATACTGAATAGCACTAAATTTGACATTAGGTGAAGAAATAAAGCTGAAATTCTAAAATTTGCTATTGGGTCTCTGTTGGTATCTGAGATTGAGATTTGATGTTGGTTTTGGAAATGTGAACTGAAACTGGAATCCCGAAATTTGATGTTCAGGTATCTGGAATTGAGATATTGAGGTGGTTTGAAAAAAACTGTGCTATAATAGTACAAAATGAACCAAATAGTACTAAATTTAGGGTTGGGTGAGAGATACAGCTAAAATTTTCGAAATTTGACAGTGAGGTCTTTGTTGGTGTCTGAGATTGAGATATGGAGGTTGTTGCGGAAATATGTACCATAATTTGTTATTCGGTAAGGGAATATGACTGAAATCGTTTAATTTAATTTAGATGACACTATTGGCGATTATGGTTAACAAATGGAGGTGGTTTTAAAAATGTGGGCTATAATCATACGAAAAGTACTAAATTTTGTATTAGGTGAAGGAATAAGGCTGGAATCCTGAAATTTGATATAGATTTCGCTGTTGTCGTCTGTGGTTAAAATATGGAAATAATTTTGGAAATGTGTATTATATTTGTTTGAAAAGTACTAAGTGCTACGAAATTGGGTATTGGGAAAAGAGAAAGTGTTCAAATCCTGAAATTTTATATGAATTTCACTGCTGGCGTCCGTAGTTGAGAGAAGGAGATGGATGGATCGAGGTCACTGTTGGTTTACATGAGGAGACGTTGAAATAGTGTTGGACTGAAAATTGGATGTACAATGGTTTTATCAATATCCTCTATAGTAAACTTCGAAATGAAATGACTTTTTGGTGTAAAAAGTAAACATTTTGCTATTATTCTTTCCGAAAAAGAAAAAGAAACACTTGTACAATACAAAAACTTGAAAGACTGAAAATTCAGTACGATGTATGAAATTTTTATTAAAGAACTTTGTCAAAGACTAAAAAATTGTGCATGTAGTATTTAATAATATCGACTTAATACATCATCCCTAAAAACGCCAACATTTTAGGAAAAAAATTTTCAAGCGTCACACATTCCAGTTTTTCGGTCAGTATTTGAATAGAGGTATGAAGGTCTTCAGATACATACCACTACAAATTTGGAAGTTTTTTGATCACAACCCTTATAAAATAAGAAATAAGTCATCGGTGGGGCTTTTTTAACTTCACAGATCCCCATATTTCCTTTTAAACTTCCCAATTCGAAAGTCTTCAGATAACTCCAGTATAAATTTGGAAAGTTTTGAGGAAATCAAGCTCTCATAAAACAAGAAATAAGTCATCGGTGGATTTTTAACATCACAGATCCCCATATTTCCTTAGGAACTTCCCAATTCGTAAAATTAGCATTACATTTTGATCAGGTGTAAAAATGAACGTATGCCTCCGTTACGTTCCACACAAAGGCTCAAAATTTTCAATATTCATAATTCGTACAAAATACGAAATAACTACCCGATTTTCTTCAAAATTTATGTAATAAAAATACATTTACCAACATCAGATAGAAGAGGAAAATATGAAATTTGTTTTCTATTTTTTTAGAGTGAACGCTTTCCAATATTAATTCCAAATTCAAAATCAGTTAAATCTTCTACTTCTACCCAGTAAAAATACTCAAAACTGGAAAATTGGAGTGGAAAGTACACAACAGCTCGAAAACCCGCCCGAAACATTAGTATTTCAATTACTTCTTGGAGTAATTATCTATATTCGGCTAGAAGACCTTCAAAAGATGTAGATACCTCCAGGTATTGCCAATTTATGCATGTGGTCCAATTTCTTGACCTTAATTTGTGTTTCATTTTAATCGTATAGTTTATGCCGGCCATAAAGAATGTGGACCTAATTAATATTCATTTAATGTTTTTAAGAAAGAAACAATCGGTACACTCATGCTTATCACACATAGTTTGTATGTGTGTGTGTATGTGAAGAACTTAAAGCCATTTACGTTTCATTGCACTTACCTTTTATTTGCGCTTGTTTACACACAATCCACTTTAGATGGCTGTTGTTGATATATATAAGTTTTTTTCTTGGTTTTGATGCTCTTGCTCTCCGCTCGTTCCGTCAATTTACAATTTTATGTTTTTGTTTTTCCAAAATAAACGAAAACACAAAACACAAACGTTTGAATAAAGTTGACGGCGACGACAACGCGTTGTAAGAGAATAATGGCTAATGCAATTTCAAGGCGGCGTTTACGCGCTGGCGATGACTTTGACGACGTCGACGACACAGACGAGAACGATTAATGATCGTCAATCATTAACACATAAATACGACGAATACAGTAATGACTTGCCACCGGTCATTTATTATAAAAAAATGTGACGGGTTTGTTGTTGTTTTATTTTTTCACTTTTTTGGTTTTTTTCTTAAAATTTTTTGGCTAAAATAACAATGAGTGAGAATAAGCAAACAAACAAGAAAAAAAAACTCGTTTAGTAGGAAAGCAATTATCGGCTTCGTATTACAATAGGTGTGTAGATAGACGTGTGTGTGTGTGTGTGCGGTAAACCGGCTAAGCGTGAGAAATAAGTATCTATGAGAATGAAAACTAATTTGTTTAATTAGAAAATTAGCCACATGGAGAAGATGAACGTTAAACCTTATGTTGCACTGAAGTCATGGGGTCTCTCTCAGAGAGGAAATTATTGCAATTGTTTTATTGGGAAAATTATTGAGAAATCCATAGTAAAATATACTGAAGACATAAGGAGACAATGGAATGAAATGTTTTCATCTGTGATGAAAATGTCAGTTAATGTACAATTTTTTGGGATTTTAAAAGAAGGCTTGACGAAGGGGTCTCTGAGGTCCCAGAGAAGAAAATTATTGCAGTTGTTATATTGGAGAAATTATTGCATAATTATTAATAATATTTAAATTATATTGAAGAAAATGTTATGGTGAATAATTCTTTTGGATATTTTGACTTACTACGATCGCTTTTAAGGGGAGTTTTTAACCATATTTTTAAAAAAGGACCAAAAAGACCCCGTTTTTTTTAACCTACATATGGTGTTCAGGCAAAATTAGGAGTTTTGACGTCTTCTAGGACCTATAGTAGAATTTTATGAGAAATAATTTTGCTGAATATTTCGACTTGCCACGATCTCGTTTAAAGGAAAATTTTAACCATATTTTTAAAAATATGACAAAAAAGTCCTCTTTGGACCGAAATATGTAGTTTTGGTAAGATTTGGACTTTTGACGTCTTCTGTGACCTATAACAGAATAATTCTATGACAAATAATTTTGTAGACTATTTTGACTTGCTACGATGCCGTTTAAATGGAGTTTTTAACATTTTTTTTAAATTGACTACAAAGGCCACCTTTCTATCGAAATATGACCTTTAGTTAAGAATTAGGCTTTCGACGCCTTCTAGGACCTATCGTAGAATCTTGTGAGAAATAATTTTGCGGAATATTTTGACTTGTTACGGTCAGGTTTTAAGGAAGTTTTTAACCATTTTTGTAAAAATAGGACCAAAAATACGCTTTTTAGACCGAAATATGGAATTTATGAAAAATTTAGACTTTTCACGTCTTCTGGCACCCATAGTAGAATTTTATGACTACAAATTGCAGAGAATATTTGAACTTATTACGACCCGGTTTTAAGGAAGTTTTTAGCCACATTTAAAAAAAAATGACCAAAAAGACCCCTTCGTTGTCTCGCTTGTGGGTTAAAACTTTCTACCAAAATATTTCTGGTATTTTCCTGTAATTCTGTAATACTGCTGAAGACTGTATGCAGCTAAAATGCACGGATTCCAAGGTATCTTAATTTGAAAATGACAAAAAATGCGGAATGGGTAGGGGGGGATTCAACTTGCCTGTCCTCTATTTAGCTTACTTGGCGTTATAAACTTTCAGAACTTCGATACATTTGTCTTCTTATTTTTAGCTCTACTTTCATAATATGCTGGATTTTTAGCGGATTTATTATTTTGTGTTGCCCTGTGTTATAGAAATTAATTCAGCATAGCCCCGATTGGGTTAATTTCCCATGTTTTTTTTATTATTGTTTTTATTTTTTTTATTTTGTATTTATTTAAGCATTTAAATGATGTCACGTCTGTGTTCGTAGCGAAATTAAGTGAAAAAGAGGTGGCAGAACAAGGACTTCGATCACTTGAATTGTTAAGTGGCGACCGCCGAACGGAAACGGAAATCAAACAAAACAAATTTTCAAATAGCAAACAATTGAATTGATTTAATTTGAAAATTTTCCTCTACCCACCCACCCTGCAAGCTCTCCAATGGGAGAGCTTCAAAAAAATAAATAAATTGCCCAAGTAAGGTTATGATAACGAAATTAAGTTTGCCAAGGCTGGAAGTGGAGTTGGTTCGTAGGACCCAAAAACGTTCTCTAAATATTAAGCATTCTTTAAGTGTCCTCGACAGTAAACGGCAGCGTAGCCTCGCCAACACTTGATTGCAACAAATTGTGTGGCGAAAAATGCCGGCTATGATGTTAACAAACAAATTGACACACAATTCAATGATTCGATTGTTTGCCTCGTTCGTTGGTTCGTTCTGTGAATTCTCTGTGACTGGGTAACCCATAAAAGTTGGCTGCCTGGCTGGGTAGTAAATGGTGGGCTTTAGGTCTCGTGCGTGAATTGCTCAAAGAATTTTTAACACCAATCAGGCTTGAAATTGTGATGGAGAGAGAGAGGCAAAGAGGCGAGTATTTGGAAACGCTCGTAGTTATGGTTGTTTTAATATTGCAACGTTGCTGGAATAACAAATGAATCAGAAGTTAGGCCAAAGAATTCAGTTGTGAGTGGGTCGCAAGCAAACAAACAAACAAATCGAAAAACCCTAGCCTTGTCGCAGTAGTGACGCGGAACGTCATACCAGTCCCAGTAAATATGTCGACAATGACAAATTCAATTGTATGTTGCCAGAACGTTGGCAGAAGTTTCCACAATTATTGTTGCATGGTAATGGGATTCCAGTTTACACGCACACACACACACACAGACGTACGCACAACAATTGCTTTACAATTTATTTTATTTTTGATTTTTCTATTTGATTTTCCTGCGCTCAAAGAATCAACAAAATTAAATTTAATTTCTGGGCGCGAAAATCACACGAAAACATAGACACAACGTTCTCTAATAAACCGCGAACACACACAAATAACACAATTTTTTGTTGTTGTTATTTTCGTTTCTTTCTGTGTTTTTTTTTTTTTTGTTTTTTTTTTTGTTTTTTTTTTTTTGTTTTCAATCAGAATTATGCAAATTGAATTTATTTTCACTTTTGTTTTTTTCTTTCGCTTTTTTTGCTTAGCGGTTTTGAAGTTGGATTTTGTAGTTCATTGTCATCGCCGCCGCCGCTTTCGAATACGTCGATGGCTTTTTACACGTTTCTTTTTTTTGCAAATTGATTGAAATGGAATTGAAATTTTTGTAGGGTTTGTTTTTTTTTTTTCAAAAAGTCAATAAAAAATAAACCCCAAACCGAAAAATGACGTCTCATATATTCCTCTTTTTTTCGATTAGTAATATTCAAACTGCAGGTGATTATTATTTATAATTCTCTTCTTTTTTTCGATGGCCAGTAAATCGAATTCACTAACGCCGCGTCGCCAGTCGGACAGGTGGAGAGTGTTGGCAAAACGTGCTGTCCCATCAAATTCTCAACAATGGAAAGTATTTTTTCTGCAAAAAAAAAGAAGACACGAAAAAAAAGAAAGTTTAGAATGGTAATAAATTGATAGTTAAAAAAATACGAATTCCAAAAAATCCAAAAAAGAACAACAAATATTTTGCTGGGCAAATAAAAGTGAAGGTAATATGACGCTAGCAACAAATGCCAGACAAAAACCAAGTTTTTATTAATTTTTGCACTTAATCATAATACGGCAGATACTAAAATGGCAATGAATTGCAAATATAAAACGTGTGAAATGATCAGTTTCTATGGAATTGAATTATCACATTTCCGAAGAGCCCAAAAAAGTAGACAGACAAATGAACGTTGATTTTTCTGTTAATTTTTACCATTTCAGTATGGAATATTTGCACAAGTAATTTAAGATTATGTGTGGTTATGTAGAGAAAGGTGTTACCTACGTGTCTCTTTGAGTCACACGGCTGATAATATAACACATCGAAAGAGAATTCACGGAAATAACCAATAGCCGACCCTGTGGGCCATAAAATTGAATTTTCATAGAAAACACAGTGGTCAAAAATAGATCTTCCCACAGACAACCAAGAGGTCTTCTTCCAAAATACCACTCGGTATTCTCAAAGAAAATCAATGCCTTTTAATAATTGGCCAAAAAAGCCTTGTGTATCCTCCCTAAAACATTTTCCCGAAAAAGGCCAATCAGATTTATCTTTGAAGGCCGCTACCATTTCTTATAAAATGTCCATAGGTATTCTCCTAAACGGTCAATCTGACCTACCATTTCTTACAAAGTACGCGTAGGTTTTCTCTTAAACGTCTAATATTATCTCCCACGGCATGTCTTCTCCCAGGTATTTTCATAACAGATACAGACAACTCAAATAAAATCAGGAGGTCTTTGCATAAAAGTTCACTAGGCCACTTAAAAGAACAACAGTGTTCCAAATAGAATACCTCAAGAAAAAGAATAATGGTAATTTCATTAAAGACCAACAGGCCTTCTTATAGAAAATCCAGAGATTGCCTCACAGAAGAGGTCATGGTCTTCGAAAATATCATTATCCCTTCCCATGAAGAAAAAAAGTATCTGGTAGATTTACCTTAGAAAACCAAGAGGACTTCTCAAAGAAGAGTTCCTGCCAAAGAAGACCATAAGGGTATCTTCCAGCAGGCCATGCGATAAAAGACCAAGTACCTACAGAATGAGGAGTTCTATGAGGTGTTCATGTCTGTAATGAAAACAACTGTAAGTTTTCTGTGAAAAAGCTAATAATCACCTAAAAGACCAAAAAAGAGTTTTTTTTTCACAGAAGACCAATAGCTCTTCTTTTAGAAAATCAAGAGGTTATCTCATAGCAAACCCAGAGGACTTTGTCCTAAAGACTATCACTACCTTTTCCCATAGAAGAAAACAGGCTCTACTCATAAAATATCATCAACGAATATTATCTTCGCAAAGAAGACAATCGGAGTAACTTTCAAAATATCAACAAATAGAGGACCAATAGGGTTTCTCATAAAAGTCACCGAAGACCACTAGGCCTCCTCAAAGAAAACAAGAATTCTAATAGTAGACCGCTCGGACTTCACATAGAACACCAATAGGTAATAAGAAGATCGTCTCACAGTCTTAACTTAGAAAAATCAAAACTTCTTCATAGAACACCACCCCAATCACAAGATTTGTTCTACAACTCTCGGTCATCCTACAGAATGCCTTTGGATCTTCTTATTGAAAGCCTCTTGCTCATGAAATAAAACAAAAAAACTCTAGTTCGTTTTAATAAAAGTTATGTTGAGCTTCGATTGGATCCTTTAATGCCACAAGCTCTTCTAGAATTTCTCAAGGTTTCCTGTTAGGAGATCTCTACGTCTTCTCCATGGTCTCGTCGTACCAGAACACTAAATTCTGGAACCGTTATGTCGTCTTATAGAAGATCTCCAGACCTTCCTCCACAAAGCCTACAAGATCTTCTAATTGAAGAACTCTATTCCATAAGTTCTTTTCGTAGAAGACAACTCTACGACTTCGCAGAAAGGACCTCTGGGGTCTTTTTATGGAACATCTTCAAGTTCTAGCATTGAAAAACTCCAATCCTTTTTATAGAAAATCTCTAGGTCTTCTCAAAGACAATCTCTAGCTTTCATCAAGACTTTTAATGGGAATCACTTGATCTTATCATGGCTATAGGTTCTATTATAGAAGGCTTCTGATAGAGAATCCCAAGTACTCTAGAGCAAGAGTTATACTTACTACTGTCATTAGAAAATTATCCTCAATAAAACCCAATGTTGTTACCTGTTGGCCCTTAAAAACATATTATCCAAAAATTCGTATGTCCAGATCCCTAGGAATATTTCATAAAATCAACGATGATCGACCTAAAGGATCTTAAGAATATTTTCTAAAGAAATCAACTATATTTTGGACTGGAGATCATTGAGAAAATATCCTTAAAAAGTCCGCTTTAAAAACAAATTTTTTTTAAATTCGGACATTATTCGTAATATATACAGGATTAGCACGTGCCCGCTACTCCGTCAGCGAAAAATCTAACAGTTCGTGTTAGCACTTTTAAGTACTCTCCATGTGTATGCTCTAAAAGTACCTCTAACTACTTTTCAAAAACTTATAGCACACACGGCCAAAACCACCAGAGACTCCAACTGTGACCTCAGTATCAAATTTTAGAATTTCAGGTCCATACCTTTACCCAATACCAAATTTAGTATCATATCCAAAACAATCTACAGCTCTCCATCCTAGGCAACAATAGTGTTGGAAAACTAGTACCATTTAGTACTTTTTGACGCATTTGCAAAACCACTACCAGAGGTCCAATCCAGATACCAATAGAGAGCTCAATATACAATTTCGGGATTCCAGCCCTATTCCAATACTCAATTCAGAACCACTTAGTACTTTTCACAATTTTTAAGCTCTAGCCGCTCAGAAAGTACCAAATGGTAATAATATAAAAGTTTAGTGTCATTTTTGGACTTTTCGTAACTATAAAGGTCGAGTTTCCAAAAACCCTTCAGTACTACATCAGTGACTCTTATTCCAAATTTTGGCTCATTCTGTTTGTCCAAACAAAGTATTAATTTTTAGTACATCTTAGTACTTTGCGTATCCTTTTAATACGAGTTGCCAAAACTCAGCCTTATCACACGCCAGAACTGATCCTCGTGCACAATTTCAAGATTCTAGCTTAGCCGTGTCGTCTGGGCGTTGGTTCTTAGTCAGTCAGTCAGTCAGTCAGTCATTTTTATTCAATCACCGATTATTGCCCTGGTTAGAGCTTTTTAATATAGCTCCTTCCTTAATCCATGTGACCAATACGTCTCCAAGGGTTGAGCCTTTAGGGTGATGAATAAATATTATTTTCAAAATTCTTCATATTCTTGATTATTTATTATGGTTGAGGATTGAGGATTATTTATTATGGTTTTCTTCCATTTTCCTCTTTGTGATATCTAAATTTTCTCCGACAATGCCCCACTAATGATGCATAATAACTTAAAACTTCCCGCCAGCAACAAAAACTTGAGAGTCATCGCAAGAATTACCCTTTATAAAAATGACATAACCTTATTTTTGTTACAAATAACCCGTAACAGGACAGAATATAATATCTTTCTGTAACACCAAAACAAAAAAGTTCAAACACCTGCAGGTACGACGGTAATTACATACTTTGTCACAATTTCAAGTAATTTATAATTATTTTGGTGTAACTTTATTTTTAATTCATTTCAATTTCTTTAACACCTGATATTGAAAAGCTGACAAAAATAAAAATTCATGAGTCCAAGCGACCGTCTATCCGTCCGCTCCTTCCTGATGGACGTGACTTTATTATAAATTCGGTTATTCTGTTTTTGTTGTTGTTTTAATTAATTTCGTTATAAATTTTTCTCCTCTCAAAATATTACGGTTAATTTTCCAACTCCACCGAAAGAGCCTAAATTACTGGATGTAAAAATGAGAGAGAGGCAGAGAACAAAACAAATTGCTTGATTAAATTTTTAAATTATTGTTCGCCGTATTCAAACAATAATAAGTTCGTCGTAATGACCGAGTAAGAAAAGTTTATTTTTGGAATTTTAAGAATAGCTCTTTAGAAAGTTTTCTTCTCATGTTCGTGTCTGACGGCGAAGGCGAAATGGAAGAAGTTTTACACAGTTTAAGGCCCAATTGTAATTAGGGCTAACATTAACAACCAGAATTGACGTCAAGTAAGGAAATGAAATGTGAAAACTTTCTTTTAAAAACAGATTAACTTCGTAAGTAGGAAATGCGGCAGCATTTGGAGTGTTAAACACGTGCTGTCGTCCCTTGAAGGGATTCACACCAAAAAAAAAAAAAAAACATTATGGAAGGAATTGTGGTGGGCTTTAGTGTCTTGAGTAATATTAAAATAGAAGGGTGACAAGCAAATTGTTACTTGGGAGGTATAACTCAAACAATACCTCCCATAGGTGGTCAACGTGGATTTTTCTTAAACGTGGATTTTTAAAGAATATTTTTAGAGCTAACTTTAGACCCTTAAACGTGGATTTTTAAAGAATATTTTTAGAGGTAACTTTAGACCCTTAAACGTGGATTTTTAAAGAATATTTTTAGAGCTAACTTAGACCCTTAAACGTGGATTTTTAAACAATATTTTTAAAGCTAACTTTAGACCCTTAAACGTGGATTTTTAAAGAATATTTTTAGAGCTAACTTTAGACTCTTAAACGTGGATTTTTAAACAATATTTTTAGAGGTAACTTTAGACCCTTAAACGTGGATATTTAAAGAATATTTTTAGAGGTAACTTTAGACCCTTTAACGTGAATTTTTAAAGAATATTTTTAGAGCTAACTTTAGACCCTTAAACGCGGATTTTTAAAGAATATTTTTAGAGGTAACTTTAGACCCTTAAACGTGAATTTTTAAAGAATATTTTTAGAGCTAACTTTAGACCCTTAAACGTGGATTTTTAAAGAATAGACCCTTAAACGTGGATTTTTAAAGAATAGA